GGGGGGGGGGGGGGGGGGGGGGGGGGGGGGGGGGGGGGGGGGGGGGGGGGGGGGGGGGGGAGGGGGAGAAGAGAGAGAATCCGAGGGGTTTTGGTTTTTGGTTTTCTCTTTTAACGTGGGGGTTGGAGACTCGGTGGCGAACTCCCGGTGCGTTCACCGGGAAGACGGAGGATTTTAGGTGGAAGCTTCGGGTTCGTGCGTGTGATTCCCAAAGGGAAGAGGAAGGGATTCCGCGCGATGGGACGAGTTGGTCGGGGTCATAGGGGTCGGGGTCATGGGGGTCGGTGACTAAAGGGGACTGGGTTTTCAGCATTAAAAAAAAAAACGGACGGTACATCTAATGAGGGAACCCCGAGACCGAAAGAACAATGAGCTAATCATGCGGGAGAGGGTGTAACGCCCAGAGACAAGGATGACCACAGCGACGTCATGGAGGTGCCGACGAGGTCGAATAGGGTCGTGGGGAAGGGCCAGACGAGGTCGAATAGGGTTCGTGGGGAAGGGCCCGAAAGGGACTTTTCCCGAAGACATTCATGCCGATCGGACGAGACGAGGGCTTCCTCGATTCCTCATATCGGGACATCAGGGTGCGGTGCTCCCAGGGGGGGCGATTAGGGTAGGGTGGTACCCGGTGGTGCCCCTCGGTTCACCCGGAACTGGTTACTCACGGGTGCAGACGTTTTCCTTCATGATGTAGCCCGTTAGACAGCGACATTCCGTCGTGAGATTCGCGTCTTTGCTCACGTCCACGCACTCCGAGTGCGCGGGGCACTTCTCTCGCATTTTCAGGAAGTCGCAGGCATCTGTTCGTATTTTGGGGTCAGAATCGTGAGGGGTTTTGGGGGTCGGGGGAGATTTTTGCTCACTGACTCGGGCAGGGGTCTTGGTTGCAGGGAACGAGTTTGTAGTCGCTTCCTCGGCATTGCACGTTCGGGTCGTACGGTGGGACCGGGGCGGGGTTGTTGCATTTTCGTATCGTTCGCTTTCGACCGTTGGGACCGCAAGTGGCGCTGCAGGCTTCGTTCGTTTCCAGCCAGTTCGACCAGCCTCCCTGGACGGGCTCTATATAATTTCATTTTAGTCTATTCGTCATTGCCGGGATTTTTTTTTAGGGTCGGGCAGACGGGGTGAAAGGTTTTGTTGGGTTCAGGATTTTTTTTTCTCATTCACTCACTGACGCAGGCGGTCCCCTCGTCATTCATCGCATATCCATCGTCGCAGATGCACATCGCAATCGCCCTCGTTTCGTTGCTCACGTCCCGACACTGGGACCGAACCGGGCACGCGTGGCTCATGTGAAGCAGGTCGCACGCGTCTAAACGACGTGAAACGACGTTTCCCTGATTATCAGGAAAGAAACGATCCCCGATCCAGGATCCGAAATCTCTCACTCACTCCCGCATTCCGCCTTATGCTTGGCATATTCGTTACAAGGCTCCCGTTGAACCCGCTCGCCCGGACACTCCTCCCCATTCTCCCCACAAAGCGCGCGCCTCTCCTTGTACCCATCCACACACTTCTCGCTGCAATCGCTCCAGTCCGACCAATCGGCTGCAAGAAACGAATCCCTTCACCTCCCTTGGACCCCCTGACCTCGCTTCCCCCCCCCCTCCCCCTCCCCTCCCCCCAGACTGACTCTGGCACGGTTGCTCGTTGCACGGGATGTGGATGACTTCGTCTCCTTTGCAGTCCTTCGCTTGGTCGAGACACCAGCGACTCAGTTGTTTCTGGCCCCCGCCGCATGTAGCACTGCAAGCGCCCTCCTTCCATTCCGACCAGCCTTTCTCGGGCTCTGACCTGGCTATCTCTCGGGAATCACACGCCACTCGTTAGGGGAAATATGTGGGAAATCGTCTGTTCGTCTCCGCGTCCTGCCTTCGTCCCCGACGGTATCGTTTCTCAGCCGTTCTCAACATAGAATTGTTGCATTTGCATTCAGGGGAAGAAAATTGCTCGAAATGCTCAAACTGGAAATATTGATATATTCGCCCTCTCGAAAGGAGATCGTCTTCAGGAATCCAAATAGAAATCGGTGAAACCAGGAAACGTAATACACGATGAAACCCGTGGATCCAGCCATATTGATGTTACAGCCACCTGCTAATCGTAGCTAGAACAATAGTTGACTCCATTGACTCAATGTTAAAATAGCAAGATTTCCCAGCCCCTCCTTATATCAGGCCAGAAAACGAATTAAAGAAAGAAAGTCGTGAGAATGTTGGTCCATTTCGAATCAGAGCTATAACGCCTATCGCGAGTCTGATATTCCTTGAAAATAAACTGACCGGTAAGTACCTCAGAGATACCTCAGTAAGTACTCAAATGAAAAAAAAAATTAGTTCAACAGCCTCATTTCCTTACCGGTCGAACTTGGAAAATCTCCTTCTGCTCGCATTGCAAATGCGCATATAAAAAACGTGAATGAACGCCGTACGAATGGCACAACTTTCGCGTCGCACCTGCCAATTTCGAGTCATTCAGATTATTTGCCTTACATTCCAGGGTCATCCGAGATCGATGACGGGTACAAAAACCAGCACGGACGTCAGCACTAGAATAACTCGGATCGCGCATTTTGCATTCTGCATTTTTCATGAGGGTCCGTTGTGCGATCGACAAGGTCGACACGGAATGGCAACTCACCGCTGAGGTTCACATTGCTGATCGTGAGGATGAGGATGGCCCAGGTGAGCAGCAATGGCCTCATATCCTGAGAGAAACAAACAAATGATCGGGTTTCGACTGGTGTCGGTCGAACGAGTCGAAAGTCGGTCGATCGGGAAATTTTAATTTATGTTAATTAATGACAAATTTTCATTCATTTAAATCAATTGAAATTTCCCACCGATTAAATATTTTAGTAAGTGATAATGGCTGGACACGCGAAGGAGCGAGCCGACGAGCCTCAGTGACCTTGATCAGCGCCAAAGGATCATCCTGGAGCGACCTTGATGCGATTGAAGCACCCTCTTTAACCCCTTAACTGGGAACTTTTGAACGCATATGTGCGGTGATTCCATTGAGAGAAGGCAGGTGCCAGACNCTGGGAACTTTTGAACGCATATGTGCGGTGATTCCATTGAGAGAAGGCAGGTGCCAGACCGCACATATGCGGCGAGTCCATTTAAGGGGTTAAGGCGGAAAGTGGCGGAAGCGGGCTTCATTATGCACGAAGCTCTCGGATCGGATTTGAATACGGTTCCTTTCGATTCGTCGAGGCACGATAATGCAATTCCGATGGGGGTAGCCCGCTGAGGCCCGCTGGGTCCCAAGGGGAATCCGGTCGATGGAACCGTGTGTGCGGGTAAACGAACGGTTTCCTCGGAGATCTCGGCCTGACAGACGAATGCAAGGTCGGGGGGATCTCCATGGATTCCGTGCCAAGCGTCAGGACGCGGTCCCTTATGGGAGATGGGGGGGGGGGGGGTGTTTTTTTCGCAGATTGTCGGATATAGCAAGAGAATCTCGGTTAACCTTGAGCTGTTCGAAGTTTTTCCGTGTTTCCTCATCGATGCGTCTCGCAGCACGAGGGAAAGAAATGCGCAGGGTGCATTCCTGGTGCATTTCACGGGGGAAAGAAATGCAGATTGGCGATCGTTGGCCGGGATCCAAGCGCATTGAGTTCATCCCAGTCGATACAGATAACGCAGATAAGCAGGAAAATGTCCGATTTTTAGCACACCCTCGGTCATTTCGTTCGATCGTTTCAGGAGATCCAGGAGACTTAAATCTTAAAACACTCGAAAAAATCAGAGCCCGTTCGGAATCCATCCGCCCGCGGCCGTCGACGATCGGGAAGAGCGAGGACTGCAAGCAGGGTTGCCGAATGTTCCGGTTCGGCCGGGGAGATCCCCACCGCGGAAGCAGGGAAGAAAGAGAGGAAGAAAACGAAAAAAGGAAGTCGGCAGCCCTGCCAACGGCTGCCTCCTTTAATATCTGCCCTTTTGGCGCTTTTTCCCTCGGAGTGCCCCACATTCAACATCTCGCATTAACCTCTACGTAACACAAGTTTGTGCTGCCCCCTACCGCACCCCCCCCCCCCTACTCGTTTCCTACCGCGAAGAAGTATTCTTGTGCGTACATTTTTGCGTCGATCTATTTGAGATTTAAAATAATAATGAAGCGCAGCTGCGAACGTAATCGAATTTTTTTTTTACGGGGCAGAAGTCGGACCGTCCTTTTTTGTTTTAAAAATCCAAAGTAAACAGCTCGAAGAGAATCCAGTTGTGTCATTGTCGCTATTTGTGGAACATTGTTCGCCATGAAAAAAAAATTGGCAACGATTATTTAAATTCTCCCGCTCCGAAGATATGTGTCAGGAATTTCGCGCTCTGCCGTTTTTTCCCTCGTTTACAAGACCCGGAAGAACACGGAGTCACGGTGATTACTCACGAGTGAGCAAGGAACCGAAGGGCAAACGCGTGAGCGAGGTTCCTCAAAAACTGCGACTCGAATTGGCACATCTCGCGGGCTCTGTTTCGCAACGAGGATCCGACGCCTTCGGTCGTTCCGGGGATTTTTTCGGCACGTGCAGATTTTTTTGCGAGATATACGCGGTGTTTGCTTGCTTCATCGCGGGTGGATCCGGCTATTCTATGCGATGCCACGCCCTGACGCCCTGTCGGTTACGTTTTTATTTGCTGATTTGTCGGGTTGTGAAACCGTTTGCCGAATCTGGGCATGTCTGCCTCGTTGCAGAGATTTTTTGCTTGGGCCCTTTTTTTGCGCGATGGGAGCATCGCCCTCTCGCTTCCAGAATAGATACAGCTCTATTTACATTTTTCTGTAATAGTTGTAATTGGAAACACTGGAAAGAAGCTTATTATTGTTAAAGAACAGGATGCGAACTCATTTTTTAGGTTCTACGCATTATTATTTTTTTTTTTACCTTCGCGACGTCAACCAAAAATCCGTTGAAATTCTCCAGGATCATCGACTCAAGTTTTACCTGGAGACGTGGAGATTCTTCTTCCGCTGTCGTTTCCGCATGGAGACGGCCCAACCCGAAGTTGCAGCCGGGGGAAAACCACACGCACACGGTCACTCACACGGGCGAGAATGGGCCGGGGTTACCCCCAGCCCCGTAATGTTATGCGGAGGGGAGCCATGGTTTCTCCTTCGATCCGCTTTTCGTTGCCCGGATATGCGAGGAGGGATGCACCGTGGGAGACGTACGCGGTCGCAATCAGAGCCTGTCGTGACCGAGGCTACGTGTAAGTGTTCCCAGTCTTCGATCGGAGGGGGTCGATGGAGGTCGCCTAGCGATGCTGCGGGGGGCGAGACGGGTGCGCGGGGACCTAGGCGTGTCGCTAGGGTCGTATGTCGTATGGGTCGTTTTCGATGTCAATCCTTGCTGGGATCAATGGGGGATATGATTAAGGCTTGAAGATTCCGAGATGTCCGGACTTGCGATGCCATATCTCGGGCGACAGCATCCCAACCCGTTAGCATCTTTTCCCGTTAGGTTCCTTCTAATTCATTAGGCAGAAGGTGCCACCAGTTTTTATCTTATTCTATGAAGGTGCACCGGGATTTTTTTCCCGCTTGCACAGGGTATTTCCCTATCCAGTGACGATTCCAACTCCACCTGCCTCTTACAGTCGAGGAAAACTTTCCTCCAGACAACAAAAAAGCCTCTGGACTCAGACGACAGACGTCTGCCTCTGGACAACGGAATCCCACCTCGTCTGCCCAACCGACGATGTCGATCTCAAAACCGGCCTGGCGATTCCATCCGCATAGCGGGATGGGTGGGAGGGCGTCGCGCCTCGTCTCATCGGGCATCGGAGGCCCAGACGGATCCGGATGAGGATCAGTTCGGTCCAGACGATCGTTGGGGAAACATCTGCATCTCTTGTGGCATAACTTCGACCTGCTTCCTTCAAATGGATTCTTTGGTAAGGTTTTTTTTCTTCGAATATTTGTTACCCCTCTTTTGTTCAAGGTCTTTTTTTATATTACAAATCTAATACATAACTAATTAAATTTAAATGAATTAGATTCAATGCAATATGTAGGCAAGGTATAGGGGGTTGGAGTCTAATGCAACCGTACAGGGCCCGTGCATGACCGTCCTAAATTGAGAAAAGAGGAACAAGAACAAAGAGTGCTCATGAGACACAAGATCAAAATAAGGGGCCGATCATTCATCATTCTATGATTCGTACAATTGATGCTCCTGGAGAAGGTTCTCTTGCGGTTGCCAAGCTCTTTCGGCTTCTGCATCTTTTGAATCCCTCATGAGATATCGCAGCGAATGACGTTGCAGATCTTCGCTGCCCTCCTGTCCCTGATCGGCCTGGCCCACGGACACCACAACACACTCCATAGCCTATTCTACAAAGGACCCTACCGCCAACCTCTCTACATCAACTATCCCTATCAATTGCCTCCACCGGTCTGGACCTACGCGACTCCGTCCTACGCCTACTCGGCTCAACCTCCAAAGTACCAGCCCCCTGCAAACGGATACCAGATCACATCTACAGAGTACAAGGTCCCCTCTACAGAGCACAAGGTCCCATCTCTGGAGTACCAGGGCCTTCCCAACGGATACCAGGCTCCGCCTCTTGAGTACCAGGTCTCTCCCGACGGATACCAGACCCCGTCTCTGGGGTACCAGGCCCCTGACAATGGAATTCAGGCACCGTCTTCAGGGTACCAGGCCCTTGCCAATGGGTATCAGACATCATCTCCAGGATACCAGACCCCTGCCAACGGATATAAAGTTCCATCTCTAGGACACCAGAACTCTCATCCCAAGTACAACTTTTCCTACAAGGTCAACAATCCTTACGGGGGCGACATAAAGAGCCACGAGGAATCTTGGGATGGGGACAACGTCCACGGTGTCTATTCCCTCCTCCAACCCGATGGTGATTGTCCCTCGTTGGTTTCTAATGGCTCCTTTGATCGGTAAGTGAATTTCCCCGATTCACCGCTAAAACGATCTTCTGTCGCAAATAGGCAAGACGAGGACGGTGCAATACACGGCAGACAAGTGGGGCTTCAAACCCGTCGTGACCTACACAAATGGAGCCTACCGCTGAGAGGAGACCGACAATCGCTTCTTTCGAATCTTCGTCTTCGATTTCGCCTCATTTACATTCCATTTCATTCCTCCGTGTCATGGACTGCATGTTCCTCGAAGGAAAATAAAATATTCCATGCGCAGGAACCGAATGATTGAATCTGAGATTGCACCTCCCTTACCTCACTGGATTGGAGGTGCCGAAGGGCACCTCCAATCACTGCTGGGAGGGGAGGCCATTGGAAGGAGTAATTCGAGTTAATGCTCTGGGAATACTTCGTATTATCCGAAGTGTACATATAACATTTTTTGGGAGCTCATGGTCAACCAATGAGGAGCTGTAACGCTTCAGTTTGCTCAATCTCCCATGGAACCCTATTACATGTACAGTATGTAAATTTTTCGCTGGCAAAAATAGCTGAGGTTTTATATGTTCATATTATAGACTAGATCTATCCAACACATAATGAGTACGTGTCAAAACAGACTTTTTTTTCACTAGGTTTTTGGCATTCACGCCTGAAACCATATCCCGATATCATTTGCTTTGATTGATGAATATTCGAAGTTTTTCACCTTAAAAACTGAGACCTCACCCAATAACAAAAGAATCACTCTCAAAGCTATTGAAAATAATCTGTGCTGACATTGCACGCACGTCTTTAAAAATATTTCCCTCTTGATTTGATGAATAGGCTGTCACCAAAGTTAGCGTAAAAAAAAGGATTCAGATCCTTTCATCCCTTCTAATGCTATGTTGGCTCATTTAAGTCTTACATAATAAAACATTATATAATATCTCTATTTTCCAATATAAAATCTGTTGCAGATTTAGAACCTGCGAAGATCCAAAAGAAACCTGACTCCTCCATAATTGCAATCGATGCGCTGATGCGAATCCATTCTTTTCCGATGCGAAACGCAACATGGAGCATGGCGCCTGGAAATCCAAGGTCGTCATTCTGGAGTTCTTTGACAGGAAAATTTTCT